CTTCTTCATATCATACCACCTCCGAGCATTTGCATGGGCTGAGAGTGCCAGATCAACTTCTACCTAGATAGGGAGGTTGGGGGCATGCATTATTAGTTCCATTTGGGCAATAATTTCTACTTTTGATTTTCCTGTACTTTACCATTTTCCTTTAATTGTTCTATCGACTATCAAATCTGAAGACTATGGTACCCAAAAGAATGAGACTCAATCACTTGAGCAGTAACAGATTTTCATACAGCTGATAACTATTGATTTTCTTAAGTGATCATGATTCAATACTATTCTTTAAGGAAAAATGATCTTATGTCTCCCACATAACAAGTAAAAAAGAGTAACAGCTAAATATTAGAAGCTGAAGCCATACCTTGTCCACAGGTTGTGTCTTTTCATCATCATCCATTTCATCAAGATTGTTACTGAGCAGCAATGTCATGCAATTTCTTTCTAGATGGAGCTTATCAATGACGCTGGCTACAGGGTTTCCAGATTTTTTCTCCTCTTTCACCATGTGAGCCAGATCCTCCCAACTCATACCATTTGCAAGAGCAACACGGACAGCTAATATGGCTGCATCAACATCTTCCAAGTTATATTCTATAAGCTCTGCCATTTTAATGCAATGTTCAACTTCTTTCTTCAATGAAAGTACCCGATTTTCCTGCAGAATATTCATTTGAAAATTACAGGCAACAAGGTCAGATTCAACTCAAAAACTTTGAACAACTATTAGCACTATTGTGGATTCTCAATCCATATATAACTAAAGAAAGAAGTAACCGCAGAAAAAGTGTCAGGTCGTAGTAAGAACTTTTGCCTCTTGTCTAGATTTCTTATACTATCTTTGGTTATTCATTGTCCAAAATAAAGTTGTATTAACAGAGAACAGCCAATTACCAAACTGAAAAAACAATAAAATAAAATCTTAGACGAACCAATTACAAATTGCAACTGCCTAACCAACCCTACTACACATTTGCATCGAACCATGGTCACCAAAAAAGATCAGGTATGGTAATAAACAAGAAGATCAATACAACCAGCCAAAACTAATCAAATAGTATCAACCAAGTCTAATCAGAAGAACATTTAGTCATTTCCCCTTCACAATAACAGATTACTTGGTGCACAAGAACTGCCAAAAAAGGAAGGAAACTACCAAATAAACTCTTTCACATCTAGGAAATTTTAAAATCCCCCAACCTTAAACGCAGGTATCAATGGGGAACTATCTCCAGCTTTAGATGAGGTGCATAGGATCAAACTTAACACATCCACAGATATTTTCCAAGTCACACACCAAACACAAAAACTCAATACCACAATGTTTTGAGGTGCACAGATGGTAATAAGTAACAAACCTAGAGTAGACACTTCCCAAAAATCACATATTACATAACAAACCTAGAGCAAGTATAGACACTTCCCAAAAATCACATAGTACAAGCCAAAATTCATTAAATACCACAACAATCTCAAATTCTGGTAACTTTCAGTTTTATCAGGTAAAGAGATTTTATTCATTGCTTATCTGCCCTTTCTTTCATTCACTTCATTCCGTTTTTAGCTGATATGCAAAAGTTGACAGTAATAAAAGAGTATACTACTTCACCTCTTATGTTTAAAAAACTCCACCTTATGGGCATTGTGAAATAAATTAGGGTGCCAGCACAACATAAAATGAATAAACTTTAATGAGAAACCCTCACTTTGGGATTCATATTGACATGTTTCCCATGACATGAAAAAACACTTTGTAGTGGATTAAAGAAAGCTTATGCTCCAAAATGCAGTAAAAATTCAAAAAAAAAAAAAAAAAAAACCTGATCATTACGGATCTTGGTCAGCTTCTGCATTGCAGAGCTCTCTTTAGCTTTTTGCTGTTGTTCAACACGCTGACTTTCTATTTTACTGTAGAATTCATCTAATGCAGCATCAAAGGTCTCAAAACTTTTGCAATCCCTCAACTTGAATTGGTTCAGCAACAAAGGGCAGAATTCATCGTAGATCTGTAATAAAGTAAATTATACCATCGGGATTTCCATACAAGAACATATATTTCATAATGGGAAAGGGAAAAAACCTGTCCAGAACTTCCAGTAGTTGAAAAGGTGACGTCCCTCTTCCCCGTATTCTTTTGCTGCATCAATATGAAACCTTCAGGGATTTTATCACCTGATATAATGTCCTCTAGCCAATCTTCAAACTTGGAAACAGCACCCACCACCAGCTGTAGAGTATCATCTTCTAATTTGAAATTCTTAGCAACTTTTGTATTCGGTATAAGACCAGCGTCTAGAATAATATGTTCCAACAATGCTGGTCCATAGCCCAAAGCCTCGCCAAGAACAACCTTTAAGGTAGGATGCTTGGAACGAGCTCCATCATTAACCTTTTTGTTAGACTCCCTACAATTTGCCATTTTGCGGTCACTCTCTATCCCTTGGCATACATCAGAAGCATTGTTTACCTGTTCACTCCCATCCACAGATTCAGTTCCAGCAGGTTCCATTGAACGTGTTAGGGCTGCCTGCAGCTTTTCAGTGCTAGTCCGTTCAAAAATTCGACATACTTCAACCGGATAGCGATGGCGCGACATGATTGCTAAACCTTTATCATCATCTCTGTAATAGCCTAAGTTGTTATTACTTAATTGTCCTAAAATAAAGACAAGAAAACTACAATAGAACTGAATTTGACATAAATGTTTTGTGAGAAAAGACAGCTTAAAAAGCACTGCCTCCAATCGAAAGCTAGTCATTAGATTAATAACTCTAGATGTTCAAAAGCACATCAAAAAGCCAGAATTAATTCTTAGTTAGAAAATTATTGTTTGCAAGAAAGATCCTTACTGTTTGACTTGATTGAAACTCAAATATATTTTTCATAATCACGAACAAGGAGAGGAATGCACAAACGAATTGATCAAATAAAAAGGCAGGTACTTGTAGGCATACAAAATTAAATATAAAAGGTCAACAACATGTACAAAGATTCAACATCAGGAGAAAAGAAGTGCAGCAGGGAAAGAAAACAAGGGCAGAAGATAGAACTGGGTACCTGTGTGATCGCAGAAGTGTCATGACCATGAACTGAGAATCTGTAAGGAGAATATTTCCTTGGGCATAGAGTTCCAATATTACATAGTGCGCATTGGCACCAAGTCCAAATTGGAATAGAACAATCTAAGCACGGAGCAAAAGCTCATGATCAATAACAAAAGCCAAACAAAATCCAAAAAGACCCCAAAAGAGAATTTTTACAAATTTAAATCCATACCCTATCATAACCAAGTTGCCGTACATCCTCAAGCCTCCTGGTCCTTATATGCTTCCTCAATTTTAGCGTAAATCCTGATGGCGTATTGCTTTTGTCCCTAGAAAATCATTACCAGCAACAAATAACTAAAGTTGGGAACGAACACTGCACAACGTTTGCTAATCAAGCTTTGATCTTTGGCCTCGTGTTTATTTTAGTTCCTTTATATCATATTATGCAAAATATCGAGCAGCGGTGAAGCAACTCAGCCAGACTCAAAGCACAGACGAACGAAATACTTAGAACTTAGTTTAACTGAACCCAACCTGCACCATTTGAATATAATCTTCAACCTTCACTATGCATTTTTATTCCTATCACAGCAACAGCAAAAGAAACAAATGAAACATTAAGAGATAGGAAGGAATTGGTTTGTTACCTAAGATAAGCAGTGGTATGCAATCTGACTCCGCTTTCCATCAACAACAACACCTTCTCACTCTCCCCTGATTCTGTTACTCCACTGCTATTCATCAGCTTAAACACATACGTCTGCCACACACAACATTCGTTATAATAAATAAATAAATAAAACTGCAGATACGCACACTCAAATCTTCAGCAAAATCATCAAAAGAATTTTTTGAAAAACACAATCACTCACTCAATTATATTAGAAATAATCAGCTCCTAAAGCAATGAACACTCCAATTAAGGTGCAAAATTTGGAGAGAAAAGAAGAAGAAGAAGAAGAAGCAGGTACCTTGGGGGAGAGGTCATAGACATTGGAACACCGCATGCCGATTAGTCGGCGCATGCACTTGACCTCGGCGGCCACATCGGCCGTGTTCATTCGTACCTTCACCATTTCTTTTGGAGCTTCAAAGCTAAAGATGGATTACTTACGACAAATTTAATCGGTTAGTGGCGGAGGACTCTTAGGTTCGAGAGAAAAATATGAGCTCTGAATTTGGGGGGAGGAGTGATTTTGTTTATTTTTTATACTCTTTAATTAATTTAATGACACTCGACTCGACTCGAGATACATCAGAGAAGACGAAGACGGAGTTGAAGCCTGAAGGCGCTGTTTCCTTTTTCCCACGGACAAACCATCCAAATTCCAAACCCGACTTTTTCTTTTTCTTTTTCTTTTTTTCGGACTCTCTTTTTTTCTCCATAAATAAAAAAGTTGTGATGTCACATTCGAACATTGGCCTACTCTACTCTTGTTTGTTTGCCGTAATTTCACTCCGTTATTATAATTTAAGGAATTATTATAGGAGGCCAGCGAGCGCCTCGAAGTCGATTATTGCAGATCCTCTTATTTGCATACCAATTACAAACTCGTGATTGATTTTGAGGACGTCTTCATTTTCCTTAGCTGCTCTTTGATGTCCTTCTCCAGCTTTATGCATCGAGTCCCAGCAGCTGGTAAAAACATGGGAGTTTAGGCTCCTCGTCCACCACTCTCACTTGATTCATGCTCATGCATGCACGTTCAATAAAACAAAAAATTTGGAGACCGTTTTGCAACAACTTGGACAAGTAAATTAATAGACTTTTAATTTGGGATTTGCACGAACCGGTAATGATTCTAGCGTACATTATTATATTTTTGCTTCAAAGTGTCGTAGTTAAGCTTTTAAGCAAATATGGTGTTTACGAAACTCCATTACAAATACTAGAAATGTAGGATCAAAGGCTAAGCATAAGCAGATAGTACTGCGGACCAAAATGGTCCATTTTGTTGTGTTTGTAAGGGATATACTTGCATCATTTTGAAAGTAAGGGACCCAAAAAAAATACAAATGCAACATATAAAGGACTGGTTGTGCAATTTTACTTTAAAGTTTATACATACATACTCTTAGTACATACTTCCTTCTGCACAGCTTTTAATCCATTATGCTATATAATGCACGCTATCATTCAAGAAGAGTCTGGCAACCTTTTTTCGTTCTCCCCCTGCCACCATTAATTGACGAGAATTTTATGTGAGATATAAGATTCTCAAAAATTTACAACCCCAAACCGACTTTCCCAGCCAGACCTACTCGCAGGAGGCCATTGACATGTACACTTGCCTGTCTCCTCAAAGATGATTTACATTGCTACCCCAACATATGTACATCTAAAGACCAAGCAGCCTAGCAAATTTTGTATCCACACAGAATCCAGTTGCACATTGGAGAAGTTGAACGTTGCCTCCCCTTGCTGCTGTTCGGGCTTTCACTTGGTCAACCCGTTGACAATCACCAGCGTATACTTTACCCACAAAAGGCCCTAATGCTACTCAAATCGAACCAAGCACATGCTCTCCTCAAACCAATTATTTCCTTTGATCCAATACACTTGAGAATTCCGCCTGCTTCAATTGGAACTCTCTACCGTGATAACCCTACGATTCAACTCTCTATTAGCTCAGATCAAAACCAGCTGCTGCACTAATGGCATATAGCAACTTCTGTTCCATCTGCTCCTTGCTGTATCAAGCCAAATGAAACATAAACAACATAAGCAACTAACAAAATTTACACCTGCAATGCCTAATTTTGAAACTACTAAAAGTATGCCCTTTGGACAACTTTTTCAGAGCTACAATATAAGTTCTCCAGGCATATGGGCTTGATACGCTCGTAATACAGAGGACACATACGCCCTTACAAACAAGAAAAATAGAAGAGAGAATATCATCTACAGGCAGCTCAAAGTAAAGAAAACCTTCTATATGGAGGAAGCTTTAGAAGATTCATGCAAGTAGCTGCTGTTGGTAATCGGTCAAGAGCTTCTTCAGAAGCACTGCCAGCAGCCCTGATTGAGTAGGAAGGAAATGTCATTAAGGATTGACATGTAAATAGCAGAGCATCTAGCATGTATAACATTTCACATCATAATCGGAAACCAACCATACCTCTGTATGCAGAATAACGGCTCCAAGTGCTTAAACCCAAGCAAGGGCCCTCGAGAACACCCAGTAACAAACCTTGAGTAAAAAAGCACAAGCAATGTTCATTCAGCTGTGCTAACTAAAAGTAGTTCATATCTTGAAGAAGTGACAATAGTAAAATAGACCACATGGGCATACTGCAACATGTTTTGAGTTAGTTCGACATATAAATGTACTTTTCCATGATCTTGAGGTACAGGACACAAATCACAGTAAAATGCAATACCTTAACATCAAGAAGCCCAAAAAAAAAAATATATTGAAGGGCACTCTGGTTGTAATTCTTGAACCTATAAAGGTCAACTATTCAGACCCAAAAAATGTTGCAGGTAGATGTGTACACACTTACATATAGTCAAATACAAGTTAGAGGGCAAACAAGAATGAGGAATAAAGTTAGGAAGAAAGAATCTAGAAAAGTATCTGATATTACTTCTGTATAAAAACTCTTCAATAGCAAAGCAAAACAAAAAGTGGGAAAATTGCCAATCACCAAAATAAATGATGCTCGGGGAGGTAACTATTGGAGTTCCCGCCCAAACTAGTTAAGACACAACTTACAAGTTGTCAAGCTATGAAGGCAAACTCTCTCCTGCTATCATCCTTTGGGAAAAGGATATTGGGAACTAACTTCATTGTAAATCAAGTAGAAAACTAAATATTGCATTGCAAGTTGACAAGTTATGAAGACAAAATTTATCCAGGCATCACCCTTCCGGCCAAAGGGAATTGGTAATTAAATTCATCATAGTTTGAGAAGAAAACTCAATATTGTATTGACTTCCTAAACTGGGTCAAGCCTTAGACATGACCAAGGCGAAGGTGACGTGACACTCAGTTTCGGAAGAAGATACAACTAAAGGATAATTCTCTTTAGACAGCCCTCCCCAAGTGAGCTACTTTTGCTTGGATATCATTCCTTCAGTCTTCATTTAGGAGAGTTAAAGGCTAATGTGTTTACATGGAAAGGGTGGTATAATATTAATAGAGCATGTCATTAACTTTTCTGCCACACATGATGGTACACACACCCGCGTGCTCCTAAATGTTCTTCCTGAAGTACTAAATCAATATACCAAGTTGGAAAGTGCATTCAATTTGGAAGGAAGAACTAAAAAAAATCCATTAGTTCATTGACACAACTTACTTCAAAAATTTCCTCTGATTTTCCAAAGAGAAGCATTTGATAACTTCCCAGAACATCTCGATGACATAGTGCTCCTGCAGATCAGAACTATAGTCAGGATCAATGTTTATCAACAGCGAAAAGCAACCAATAAAAGAGCATGCTTGATAATTATAAAAATCATTAGTCTCTGAAAATAAGCAATCAATGACCGGTCATCCAGAGACACAGCAATCGCCTCAACTGATCATGGATAGAGGACTCTCAGGTGCCATTCATTAACATTCATATCCCAAGTTTGGAACTTTCCTAACAATGGATGAGTAAATATCATTGTATTTTATGAAATTGCTGTCCACAGTCCAGCTTACAAGTCCACAAGTTCAATAATGAGCACAGTATGCAAACTTTGTGTTCATCCTTATACCAATAAGTATTTTCTGCTTCACTAATAGAAATTGTCAGATGCAATAGTTATCTAACATCCAAAAGACAAGAAACCAACTAAGGAGTTGATATTAAAACCAGACTGAACTAGTAAATCTTAAGTAGCATAGAAATTTTAAAGAAAATGTTTCACATTAACCATGTAACACCAGAATGTTTCAATTCAACGCAGAAGACCTAGTAACTTCAGAACTGGAGAGAGAGAGAGAGAGAGATTTACTTGATGATAGCCCCCTGCATAGTTGGTATGAGCTCGAAGATCATCAAGATCAAAGCCATCAACTGATCCAGATATTAAAAGCTAGAAGAAGAGGAGGAAAATTTTGTTAGTTCAATAGAACACCAATGGCATCTCTTTATAACGTTCGGACTTAAAAAAAATAATAACAACAATAAATTTATGCAACAGGTTACCATGCTCACAGATATTCTAATTTTCAATCTTATTGTTCACGATCAAATCAAGCATATGCATGAGTTGTGAATACTACAATTTTCCAGCCATCTCTCTCTCTCACACACACACACTCTCTCTCTATTCCCACTTCCTTTACCTGGGTTTTGACACCCAAATGACTCATACATAAAGATAACCTCAGTTGTGAACGAGAAGGGAGAGTACGGAAAATCATTGCAGTAATGTAAATAGAAGAGAAATTGAATGAGATTATGTTGCACAAAATGAATAAGTATAAATCTACTTGCATGTACGAGGAGATAAATACTTGCTCACTACTTCCTATTAGAATTTGCTTTTTGGTATTCCTTTAACAGCAAGCTGATTGGTCCTTGAAGAGAAAAGCAAAAGCCTTTCACATCACTGTTACCGCTGATTCCTATCAACAGCAATCAAGCTAATTTGAACATAACAGTTTTGCCAATTTCGAGGTACAAGATGACACCACCACACAGTTATCTTTCATTCCATTTCAGGTGACAAGACTTGTGCAATTTGGGACAAGCTCATAAAGGATGAACAACAAAATGATTTAGTCCTTTATACGTAGGGATTTTTTTTTTAGCTATGAACCACAACTCCAGGTATATCAAGAATAATACATGAAAATTCTCAATTTATCATACACTGAATGTGTATGTATTTATTCCAAATATTCACAAGTTCACAATATTTTCACCATACCCTCATAAAAATACCTTTACTTTCACCATGAACTAGAGCAAATAAAATGAATGTTGTTAATATCCTGTGCATATCATGTTTTCTGATTCATATTACGTTTCTAAGGGCGGCAGAGTGCCTTCCCGCCTACTGCATATAACTTCTTCTCCTTACTATGACCGCAAAGACATAAGCTGTCACTGACAGGTCAGCAAGTGTTTTAACACCCAATATTGCTGATTGTACCATAATTTGGGCCATGATTCTAGACAAGTTTGCTTTCAAAAACAACTGGGGAATATAAAAACTTATGATACAACACCTTATTGCTGACCTTGGATTTATATAGTTTTGATAGTTGAAAGTAGAATCATATAACAAGACAAAATTGAACACGACAGAAATTTAAGATTTTCAAGGCTTGAAATACCTGAAGTTCATGCTCATTAAACATGTCAATCCATTCTTTCTGTATAAGCTGCTGAAACCCCCTCAAGAAATAAGAACTTTGTTGGCGTATCTGAAAATCATAGTGATAATTTTAAACATGAACCTTGGAGAAAAAATTAACAATTAGAGGGAGGCCTTCATGGATCAAAGTGGAGGGCCATCTAACAGCCCACAAATGCAAACACAGAGATAAACACGCAGACGCAAAAACCTAAATATGATAAGATGGATATTCACCTGAAAATTCAAACGATGGTTGGCTACAAGATGAATAAATGTGATGACATTTTCATTTGTCACCCGTAAATTCTTTCCCCCAGGAAGCAGCTCTTCTTCTGCTTGCTCCCCGTATTCATTATTGACAATAACAAAGTACAACTCTAACCCTGAGATATCACCTTCATAATGCTGCAATTGCAAACGCCAAAAAGACAGTATAAAAAGAATTGCCAAATAAGAGGCACATATGAACTTTATAGGCAATAATATCTTTTCTATTCTTTATCTTCATACCCTTTAGGGATGTATTTCTTTATCTCCAAATATTTCATGGAGTAAGAGAGGAAGGCATTCTTTGCTCGATAGTTTTTTTTTTAAGGCAAAAAAAATAACTTGGAGTAAAAGCCTTAAACAACGAAGGAAAAGTTTGCACCAAAGCAGCTTCTATACTAACACAAAAGATGGAGCATCTTCAGATAACACTCCTCTAATCACTAAGAGAGAGATTCGAGGACAAACTCTACTTTAGGTAGAAATGATATTATTAAAAGTTATCATCATCTCTGATGCTATCATACACTCCATTGCCCAATTTTTTGAAATTAACTCTAAAATATGGTTGCTACTGCCATGTACAAAATGAGAGAGAATACAGAAAATCTCATGAAAGGTTTGGGAAGAGAAACTAACAATTTTCTACAAATTTATGAACCTTCAACTTCCATTGAGCATAAATGATCCTTGTGAATAATCACAATAAAGCAGACACAGGAGAGGGAAGCATCACCTTCAGAAATATCAGATGCCGATATAATTCTGGATCCAAGGAAGGCAAATCATTCAAGTAATTGTACCTGAGTAGCAACATCATCAAGAAGCCCCATTTTAGAGAAGTACCAAAAGCAAAGTAGCATGCCATTAACTAGATAGCCATCTTTTTGGCTCCCCATTCTCCATTCTACCCCAAATCAGCCCAATCATTATGCAACTCTTTCCCATCGAAGAAGTAACATCACATCAAATACTGCTGCAATTCTATGTGCCTAGATTTACAAAATCAGCTCTATATCACTAAACATCCTCTGATATGCATCAGAAATTCCTATTTTCATCTGACACTGGTCAAACTCATACCATTCTTGGTGAAAGTTAATGGTGGATAAAATAGGATAACAATTAAAATTCAATTTACCAACCAGGTGAGGTCAATTGATCTCACTAGCAAGCATGTCACTCAGCCCTCGGGTCCAAGGTGTTTTCACAAACACCAGAGACTAGTATATGCCGCAATTTTTGGGTATCAAGATATAAACTTGACTGATAAAAGTTATTACTTTGTTCTTAAGCTTTCAAGTTGGATACACCTCCACAAGTATCCTTTTTTTTTACCATTTTTTTAAGTGTAAGTGGGAGGTCTCAAACTCAGGACCTCTCACTCACACACCGTTCCCCCGAACCACCCAACCCTACACAAGCTTATCATGAAAAGGGAATGTTAGAACATGTTAGAAGCAAGACTGAGTGCCTTACTTTTGCTTCAATTTGCTCAGAAAGAAGGTTGCAAATGGTATATCAACAAGAATTCCCTCGAACATTGCCTACGACAAAAAACCCATATCATACTTAAGCAATAAAGACCACATAAAACAATCATTCTGACCTAGGAATTACTCGAGCAGATGCAATCACTGGAAATTACAGAAACAATTGATCATAACAAAAAATTAGACAATTGAAAAAGATCCATAAATTAGTGAGAGTGCAATCAGAATATAGTGTTAAATGTGCAGTGATATTCAATATTTGCATGGACCCTGACAATCCATGTTTCTGTGCCTGGTATAGGAGAAGAATTTAATCCATCACACAGAGAATAAAGCAAATCTTTATTGTTGTTTACCTATCATAAAAGATTACACCAGCTAAGTCTACCAAGTAACTCAGTGACCAATTAAGTACAATGAATATGGTCTAAAAAATGCTCAATGGTGAATCTTGGTTGATAAATTGCCATCCTGTAACCTGAAGCTCAACTCTACGAACCCAGAGACCATCCCATTAGAAGAGTGTGAACAAGTACTAAGCATTAAAACTCAGCCTCCCCAGGCCAACACACATACAGGCTGGTTCAACATATTGACCTTTATTGCAAGTCAATGAAAAGAAAACAGAACTTATTATAATGTGTAAAAAATACTGCATACAGAGGATGGTGAGATAAGCTAGACTAGAAGTGTAAATCATAAAATCCATTTTTTGCAACTAGAATGAGTTGCAGAATGGAAATGATATCTTTGTAGGTACAGGCAAAATATTTGAATTCTTTGTCTGGTGAACTAATTCCAATCAAACGTGGAACCAAATTGGGCTCAGTAATGGCTAAATGACCTGTTTGGCCTCGGTCCTTGAATTGAGTCTTAGTACAAGCAGCAGGCAGAGCTAAACTTTCCAAAATTTATATCATATTAACAAGCTTGCATTAGGATGATGTAGCATCCAAATTTTGAATCACCGGCAATGGTTCCACTAAGGAACATCTCACAAAAGGGTGATTTTGGGAGCTTGCAAAAGCTGCTCAGCATGGCGCTCCACGTCATATCACCAAGTACACAACCAGTCAATTGGCAGGTTGATCTGGGTATGAAACCATATAAAAGTTACTTTAAGATTGGACTTCAGGCCTATTCAATGATTCAATTTTCTATACTACTCAATGCACCCAGATTCTGTGTCACCATGGGCAGGTGGTTTCAATATTTTAAAGCCACCAGCGATACAAGAGCCACATGCCCTCTAAGGCTCCATTTCCAATTGTCTGTCATGTCAAGCACCTGTTTATGTTCCTAAGACGTGACAAAAAATGAAAAGAAAGGTTCAACACTAAGACGGCATAATCTTTCCAATACAGATTCCCTCAACAAAGAGCAAACAACCTTCTGAAACCTCCTAAAATCTGTCCTACTCCTCAACTACCGCCCCCCCCCTCCAGTCAACACAATCGTGTGATTCACTTGGTTCATCCTGGAAAAATTATCATCTCAAAATCACTAACAGATACCCAGATTAGCTTTTATAATTCACACCCTTTTTTTAACAAGACATAAATGTTAGCTATGAGCTACAGAATATGGTCAAGGAAAATTTTCCACCACATTTTGGATCCATTCCCTAAATGTAGTGTACTCAAATCAATTCTATAATTCACGTATATGATGAGCTGGAAAGCCAGATGCCGCGACATGAAAGACAAGCATTTATCTTTTAAATGTACAGATGTATCATTACCTTAGCAAGAACAGTTCCAAGAAAGTGAAACAACTGGAGATGCTGTTCGTGTACTAGTCCTGATCCAGGATTGGGATACAGTAGGTGATCCGCCGTTTCCTTCAAAAAGACCAAAAACATGATTATGTAGTGAATTAATTAGGCAAATATTCATACATGCATAAATTGTACATGGGCATTTTCATTTTCATAAGAGACAGAGAGACAGAGAGTTTGCTGCATGAATGGACCACTGTGGACTACAAAAAAAAACAGGTTCCTTCATGATGTGCTCATGCCATCGACTTCAGATGTGTGGTACGTCCACACATATGACGACACATGCATAAATCGGCATAAAGATGAAGAGCATATTTGTAGCTTAAAGTCACTGCATAGACACAACCTTAAATAATCCGTACTGTACATCAAAGGCTGCTCTAGTAACATTTTCCATAAAATCCTTGAAAATACCACCACCATCGATTCCAGCCTCCTCCGCTCCAAATTCATTGATAAAAGTAACACGAATCTGGACAAAAACAATGATGATGATCATATCAGGTATGAAGGCAAAGCGGCTAATCTTTTATAAGGGACTCAACATAGTAATTTATATAGTTCAGAACTGCTAAATACAAAAACAAAAATATCACCAGTCCTCGAAGATCCTCTTCAGTCAAGGCATTCAACTGATCAAAAGCATCTTCCAAGATATGATCTCTTCTTACTCTGAACCTGTTCCTAACATAGGGGACATGAGGTATATTCCTTTCCCTTGCCGCAACAAGCTGTGACTGGTAGATGGATCCAACAATGACTCTCATCAGCAGTCAGTAAAATCATAATCAGAGGAAAACAGAATTCCTTATACAACATTTTGTGAGAGAAAGGGGAGAAAACTAGGAATTAATAAATCCACATTTAATCATTTTCTTTGAAGATAGCAAGCACACAGAAAAACTGACAGAATGAAAAAATCAATGGATAAGCAACTCACCGCAAATATTTTAGCTCTGCTCGTAAATGGAACCAAGAAGGGAGCTAGTTTTAGTATATCATTTGCTTTAGTATTTTCCATGGTCGCCTGGAGAAAATAAATAGCATAATTAACAACTAGAGGTCTTTTCATGGGTTTTCTTTTTGTCGGGGGGGGAGGGCAATTCTATCAACTTATTGAAAGTGAAGTTAGAAAGCATATACCTGAGAGATAAAGTAATCATTGACACCGTCAGCATGAAAATCACTTGGGGGTGTAAATTGCCTTCTGTTATTCCAATCTTGCAACTAAAAAGTTGAATCATATCAGGAGGAGGCAAAATGGAAGATGCAATGATAAAGGCATATGCATGAGAAATATTCAGAATTGGAAAAACAAACAGAACCATAACCAAGATCATCCAAAACTTTTGTAAAATATACCTGCGACAAGAGCTCAGAAGCTGTAACACAAACTCTATGCTGAAGAAATTCCAATGGGTGCTTCTTCATGGCAAAGGTGTCAACAGGGGACTTGGAAAAATTAGGTGGTGCCACAGGATTCAGCCACAGGAGTTGCCACAAGGCCTACAAAAAGAAAGTGCAAATGCACCAGGATATCACCACAGTGTCAGGAATTTTATTCTATTGAGAATTTGAGCATAGCAAAGAGCTTAGTGATCCAGGAAGCAACATCAGACTTTCAAATCTAAGAGAACTGGTTCAATGAGATTGTGCTTTGACATTGACATGCAAACAAGTGGGCAGCTATTAAAAAATTGTTAGTCAGTTTAATATAGTTCTGATTCTGTTATACAAGATAGCTTAAAACACGTCTTTCTTGGTCATTTAAAGTAAAATGCTAAGAGTTAAGAAAGCAAAAGGTCCTGAATGAACTTGAAGAGATCACATTCAATAGAGTAAATGCAAAAGCTAAGCCCATGTCAAGTTGATCCCTTGGCAAACACAGGCAAGAGTAACAGAGAGGTGGATTGCCTATTAAGTAAATGGACTTGAATATTTGTTGAACTACTATGTTTGCAAACATATGGAGATAAAACAACATCTACATAATTCATAGAAGAAGCTATCTATGAGCTGATTAAATCCCGAATGCCCAGCTGCCTGTTTGGCAGGGACTAGGGGTTTGAAGTGTGCTCAGCTAGCAAAGTCCAAAAAATGAATTCAGATTTAAAAAAAAAAAAAAAAGTGAGGCTTCTTTTCAACAACTAAAACATCCCCAAATAAAACCCTTCAAAACACCAAGTGGTAAACAACAGAATGCTACTAGCCAACCTCTACAAGAATACCTGTCTTATAATAACAATCAAGCATCGGATATCATCCAGTGGCAGTGGCTTCTCTTGCTCATAAAACTCTTCATTATCAACAATCATAAGCATGTGCCTGGTCAAGCATTTATACAAACATGAGATGTCAATTAACTCACAATACAATGTCATGTAATGCAAGAATAGATGATGCCAAACCACAGATTTCTTACTTGTAAACAGGGCAGAAAACAGCCAAAGGTAGTAACCAACCAGGTGCATCTTCAGGCAAATATGCAGACAGCTTGGACAAGGATGACCATTTACAGTTGTCATGGCAGCATTTCATGAAGTTCCAAAGCACAAGAACCAACTCTGTTCTATAAGCTAGCACAGTCATGATGCGCTCTAGAGGCAGGATGTTGAACATAACATGAAGGAAAGCACAAGCAGCACCAACAGCTGCAGCCTCTTTATCATTGGGCCCACCTATATATGAATTATTGGCAAGCGAAACCCCACCCAACAAAACATTTGTCTGCTCAGCAATGACAAAAAGTTTCAATTAATATTTCTGAAACAGAATCTCACAACTCAGTTTAACATGCACATTAAACATTGTTGGACTGTTTAAGTTTCATACCAATTGCAAAAGAAAGCGTGGATCTATTGCATTATAAATCTGGAGCTCCAAATCACCATTTAGAACTTTTTCTGCTCGTTCATCATCAACAAGCATTTCGTCATCATAAGTATTGGAATCTGAAACAAACATATGAAATAGAATCAAAATTTAAAAGAGGCAATTCTGTTAAAACACTGTGGATAATCAAGTCCAGGATTTTAGTATCACAATGCACTCAAATAAAAAAATCAAGCCTACGGTAAGTTAAAGTGTACTATGAAGACTTACTTTGTTTACCTCCTTCATTCAATGTTTTGATGGGTGGAATTGCTTCCAACAAAAATGTTGCAAGAGTCACAAAATCTACAGCCTGATGCAGAAGAAGAAAAAGGAAGGAACTTCAAACCAATTACAAATAGGTTCAAAGTCCACCTAAATAACATACTGATGTAGAGATGGAGCAAGACAAAACTATTATCATTCTATGGAAAAAAACTGACAGCCCTTCACTAATAAATGATAGTCAACGCAGACAGGAGGGGATGAATCAGCTGAACCTGCCTCAATTCTCATCAACGATTTGAGGATAAAGAAGCGGTAGCTCAAGAAATACTAGAAAGTACTGTTTGGACAGAAGGTACCGGGTCAACAGAAGGAAAAAGAGGTGGCAAGGTACTTGAATCAAAGACATGTCTCCAAAAAAAGAGGCATTACAAGCAAGAAAATAATTGATTTGGCTCTTACTCTCCTTTGATTGGGAAATTAACTTCTCCTCAATGATATTATATAAAGCAAATCTATAAGGAAGGTAAAATATCAAGAGATAAGTAGAACTTTTCAAGTAAAATTATTTCAAAGAAGATTAAAAAATATATTTTCGTGGGAAGCAAATGATAATGCAGACCATCAATGGAGCCAAGCCACAACATATTGGGGAGTTTATATCCACAAATAGCCCAGGAATCTACTAAAAAATGGTAAAAATATATTGAGTTGTACCATATCAAATGACTCAGGGTGAGCGAAAGCAACTCCAGCAGCTTCTAATATATTTCCAAGAAGGCAGGCGAAACTAGGAAAATCACTTGATATATCTTCAGGTAGAACATTCTTATGATTTTTCACACAGAGGGCCATCTGATGGAAATACTGCTGACTCAACCTAGGAGCTCCAAAAGTCTAGATAAACAATAAAAGCAGCTGTTAACTACTATGCAAGCAGATAATCACAGCATAACATACTCCAAACAATTGAAGAACAGCACAGACCTGTGTAGCAGTACAAGTACAAAGAGAGAGTGGATACATGAATCAGGCTACAACAGCATAAAGCTTTTGTAGCAAAATAAAAGCAATACAGAGCAGATAAGGGCTACGTATATTTGTGTACTGCATGCAAAACTGAGAAGTCACTCCACTGCAATGAAGCCCACTTTCCCAACATCTAATCATACCCAAATTCTTGACAAGAAACAGAATATAATGACACCGATTGTTAATGAATTATCATTAATTAGTCTACCTCTTTTAGATGCGGAAAAAGACGCCACAAGAAAGGAATTGTAAGAAGCTGGGATGAGAAACTCCAACTTGGGTCAACATTCGGACAAACACAAGGTGTTTGCCCCACATGAGATATAATGAGGGCCAGAACACGTTCCAAAGAAGATACATCACCAACAAGGCCCTGGATAGTTACTTCCTGCATGTAATCCACAGCAATGCAACTATTAATGATACATCTCATAAGAAGGAACTTCAAGGATATCCAAGAGAAGACAAGACTCAGTCACATACAATAAAAAACCAGAATAAGGAAAAATCCAAACACCAAGAACACTTGAAATCTAGGAGCCACATACGTTAAATACAAAATACAACTTCAAGCTTGAATTCCTGTATGGGTAGTTGGGTAAACCAAATAAAGCTCATTACAACTCTAAGCCATTGAAAACAAAAGGCAATCCATTCTGAATATCAGGTTGATCTTACCTTCAGCGTCAGAATGACATTTCTAAACATGGAAAATACATTTCTTTGTAAAAGATAGCTGACTGTGTTACAAGCCCAGGGAAGTCTGTCATCAATCAATAGATGTAATGCATCTAACAAGAGAATTGCTGGAGCACCAGAATGTTTAGATGCCATTAGTTGGTCTCTCAACTGGATCCTGCAAAAGTCACAACATGTTTATATGCCATTAGTTGGTCTCTTAACTGGATCGTGCAAAAGTCACAACTGATATAAGCAATTTACCGTTTCAAGAACTAACTTCTGAAGAAAAGTCCGTCGAAAGGTTTCAAAAATAACTTGGTCTGAATTTCGAGGCCATGTGACATCTTCAGGGTGGCACTTATATTTACAAATGCTAATTACACACTAACAGACATTTGTGGAAGATAGTCAACAAAGTCATAGTTTGATACAGATTTTGGAGACATCATATAATAATTAAAAACAAATCCCTTTCCTAGTAGCACTCAGGCAGGAGCATTGTATGCCGTATATTCCATTTTCATTAGCTAACTAATATGATTTTTGTAAGGTCACTAGCTCGTGCAAAGCTCCTACACTTATTCCAGCACTGCATTTCACTAGTAAAGATGGAAGAATGTGTTTAGCTGTTACCAGAAAACAAACAATTATATATGATTAAAGAAATAAATCAGCTTTATGATGGCCAGTGCATGACATTAAGCAGCTCAGCAAGACATCAAGGAATGTCCATGCACAAACAATACTATAACATAGCCTTTGCACAGCAAACCAACAATACTTGAAGCATTTAAAGAGAACTAACAATTTTTAAGAGAGAGAAACTACTGACATGAGGGTTTCTTTACAAACCTATTCTCATAAATTGCCTGAATACATGCCAAAGCAAATTTCTTAACCCTGTACTCCACCAGGGCTTTATTGGATGGATAGTCAGCACCAGCAAAGAGGCTTATAATATCTAGCACTGCAGATAAACATTGCTAGCATTAGCATGAAAATGAAGCACACGTAGATAAATAGATAGACAGATAAATAAAAGATAGATAGGGAGAGACAGAAATTAAGATAATTTGCAAATAAATCCAAAAGAATATGCTAACAAGCCACCCGTCAAAATGAATCTGCTTATTAAAAAGATGCTTGCAGTGTTGAAGGCATCACAGAAAGAGTAAGTTTTCCCGTAACTTCTTTTAAATTTATATCAAGTTGATGACAGGTTTTGCAAATTCTAATATGAAGTTACACTATATTAGCATTTTATTCATCAGATATGAGATAATCGCTCCTAAAAGGATGGAGTGAAAAGTTGAGTATTGAGCGAAAAGGACATACCACTCCATTTCTACAGCTATATATGAAGTATGGCAGAAAACTATTCCGATAGCATGCTACCAATTAAAGCATGCTTACAAGTTAATCAAAATTATATTTAATGATAATTCGTATGATTCAACAGGCTTGAAGACATAACATGATAAGCCGTTAGTTGATTGGTCGAAAAATCTTGTCAGAAGTTACTTATTGACTTACCATTATCTTGATCCAACTTCTGAAGCAACTGACAAACTTCCACAAGGGCAGAACAATCAGCAGCATTTTTGGGGTTAAAAAAGAAAAGTAGCCAGCGGAGAAAATCAGAATCTGGACCAAAGCATTGCCTGGACAATGAAACTAAGAAGAATCAAACTATGTTGAAAAAGGTTATATAAATAATTTGAGCCCCACAAAGGGAACAGGAACTATATGAAAGAACAGTTGAAGAAAGGGGGGAACAATAAGGCCTTACTTATTAAACTACAAAAACAGAGACCTCAATAAGACATTCTAGCAACTAACAAAATCAAAATGAGGAACCAACAGCATACCTGTCCACATTCTGGAAGTGCTTGCCAAATCTGGTAAAAAACCTCTCTCGGACTTCTGAACGTTCAGCCTCCACAAGCTTTCTCCCTCTAAAGCATTTCTGTAACAAGAAATTAGTCAAAGCTGGGCAACAAACCAATGGAGTTTCAGTCATTGAGTTTCCAAGCTCCCTACAGGCCTAGTTTTGCAGAGATTAAAAAAATCAATTTATCCCAATTGAGATGCTAGAGATAATCCAATCAAAGCTTTATTATCTTTATTAATACAATGTATACTTCTGTTAATACATTAAACAAAAAATAGGTGGCTCTAGAGATAATCCAATCAAAGCTTCATTATCTTTATTATCCCAATTGAGATGCTAGGGATAATCCAATCAAAGCTTTATTATCTTTATTAATACAATGTATACTTCTGTTAATACATTCAACAAAAAATAGGTGGCTCTAGTTCCAAGGGTCCTTAAAAGCAATTTTACTGTATAACACGTTCATGTCACAAGCTGGGGTGAACTTACATCAATATTCTCTAATGAAATAGGCAATGATTCTACATATAACACGTTCATGTCACAAGCTGAGGTGAACTTACTTCAATATTCTCTAATGAAATAGGCAATGATTCTACATAGAACTTAAGGTAAATCTTCTGATTATTAGAGAACTAAACAAGGAACCACACATAACTTTCAACATTAAATTGATGCTGGTAACAATACGAATTCCAAATGATAACATATTTAAAAGAGGGAGTAATTGGTCAATTAGGAAGTTTTAAGGCAATTCCACAATTATAACACAAAAATATTTCAAAGCTATCTTTCTGCTAACTTCAAAAACCTATCTGTCACCAAAAGAAAAGTTCCAAGGCCAGCACAACACATGCAGCATAACAATATCAACAGTAGCTAAGCTTAACCATCGTCTGAAAGGAGGGGGGAAAAAGCATAAGTGACATAATAAATATCATGACTAGTTATAAATTTAGGAGGCCAGATAGTAAATATCATAATAAATATCGTGACTAACCACAAACATGTGATGAGTGTTAAACCAGTTTTCGCATATTTCCTTAAGTTAATCAATTCTACTCAACTGACCACTTATGACTCTTAATGATAGCCTTTGACCTAAAGCATGAAAAGCAGATAAAATAGGATTTTCTCAGTTGTCAATTTTAGGTGCAGAGAAATAAAGCATGAAAAGCAGATAAAATAGGATTTTCTCAGTTGTCAATTTTAGGTGCAGAGACTATCCGAGTCAACTTATCACTTCAGATCGTTTGGAATCAAATGTTGACATGGGACTAAGTATCATCATCCCATCCAAGACTAATTCTTCCTGTCATACACTTGGATCCTTCATTCATAGCCTCAAATTAAAGGCCTTTTAATTTTTCCCAGCAAACAAACATGCTCACCAATTCTAGCACATGATTGGCCAACAATTATGTGATGGATGAAAGATTACAGGGACAATGCACTATTTAAATCGTACAAAATTCAAGTCCTGTAGACAAAATGATGTGATGATCGTCAATCAAAATTCCAGATAACAATTGGGTAAAACGCACAAAAATGTAAATCAACTGGTTGCAAGAAAATCTTCTCTTTAGAGTGCATATATTATTCATTTCTATATGCCACAGGAACATGGGCATGCCATCCAGCCTTGGTGGAATGAGGAACAAGATCAACCTTGAGAGAACTAAGGATGAAAAAGGATTTTATAACCGAAGAGACAACTTTCTTCATTCCTACATGATACCTGATAAAGAACGTGTATAAACAGATGCCAACAGGCGCATCACCTACATGTATCGTCCTTTTCAAATGGAGTAATTATCATAACCCCCTTGTGTTTATTATTTTAAATGCTCAATGCACTTGCCACAAGTACGAAGTAGAACATCCATCATAATCCACAGTACCAAAATTTATTCATCAAAAATGATTAGAACACGAAAGTCGATCCTGTAAATGCCCAGGTACCTGCTTGGGTACCACTGTTACGTTTTTGTCTTTGTTTTCTGATTCTACTCAATCCTGCTACCTGATAATAATAGACCCGATCATGCTTAAATTAAATAGCAGCCTATACAGAAATGTCATTCCTTTTTTGCTATTTCATTGATGAGTGGCCTTTTTGCAGCGATTAACAGCTTCCCAACCTATATAGAAATATCGTTCCTTTTTTGCTATTTCGTTTATGAGTGGCCTTTTTGCGTCGATTCACAGCCTCCCGTAAATATGCACGCTGTTTTCATTAACCTAAGACACACTAGTGCAACCAACCATATGTTTCTGACCCCACCCCTCCACATTTTTCCACTCATTAACAGAATCCAACCTAATAACCCGCTAAAAACATGATCTTTAAGCTTAGTTAAGATAAATAAATAAATAACCTAAAAATCCCCAGTTTAACCGCAGTCTTATACTTGAATCCAGCATGTATTCCGTATATTCTCCTAAACCCAACATAAATACCATCCAATAGCCAAATGTCCAGTGTCAATAACGATAAGAAGCTAAATGAAACATAAATATCCTCCACGGGCTAGTCTAGCTCTCTATCTAAGGCCTCGTACTACATAATTAAAAAACTAAAGAGATTTTTTTAAAAAAAAAAAAAAACCAAGAGATAAAATGTACTCCGTAAACAAGCTAAAACCTAGTTCGTAATTGACCTAAAGCATGTCAAAATTTCACAAATTCATAGCTTTCACAATGATATGAACCAGCTAAGTTAACGAAAGAAATGAAAACCAAAGACATTGGTACTGCACATCAAACCGTATATATATTGTAACACAACGTTAAGCCTGAATATGAAGGCTTTTTGAGACCTGAATTTTGAGAGCAGCAGAGTTGTTCTGACGCAACTGGAGGCGGCGATTCCTCTCGAACCTAGTTTGCTCCACAAGCTTCTTCCGGTCTCTTTCTTTGGAACTCCGTCCGCCTAAATCCACTCGCTTCCTCGTCGATGAATCGCCGGAGAAAAACATCTTCCCCTTTTTTATTCCCCACCGCAAAAATGATCAATTCAACCCAAAAGAAGTTATAAAAAATAAAAATCGAGACGAAGAAAAAGCTCCAATCTAACTAGCCTATTAAATAGGAGTGTCAATTTTGAATGTAATGAAATTGCAAAAGAGTAAAGAGAAAAGGCAAAGAGGAAGAAAAACTATGAGCTGAGTGACTTAACAGAAAGAGGAAAAAATGCCTGCTCAAAATCAAATACGTTTTCCTTTTCTTTTCTTTTTTTTTAATAAAAACTTTTGCGGGAGTTAGCAATGAGTAGCAAGCAGTACAAATAAAATAGCACCGAGGATGGAAAGGAGGAGAAGACTTTTCTTGAGTCCTCTTGTTGTTTAAGCCTTCAGGAGTTTCTACCGTAACTTCTTGCTTCGTTTTACTATACTGGTTTTTTTTCCTGTAACGAAACACGTGTGCAAGGACGTATGCTTAATTTAGAGGTACTATCGAGTCGAGCACCATACTCGAACTCGAGAACTCGATCATAATTAGTGCTATCCGAGTTCGAACGAGTAAAAAAAATTTAGACTCAAACTCAACTCGATAAAATAAAATTAAACTCGAACTCGACTCGTTTAAGCTCGATTAAACTCGAGTAAATATCAAGTCCGATCTACTCGAGCTCTAGCTCGAGTTTTGAAATAAACCTATAATTTTTTTCTCAAAAATATATAATATAAATATAATATGAAAACTCGATTAAGCTCATCGAGCATTTGAGTATTTATTTTTGGAGTTCGAACTCGACTCGTTGAGTATAACGAGTAGGTCGAGCTCGATTTGACAGAGCTCACGCCAAGCTTTTTACCAAGCCACAAGTGGCTTGACTTGATTGCACTCCTATGCTCAATAGTAGGATTGGCATCCGTTTGGCTTGATCATTTTCATACATAATGTTGTGTAATATACAAATAAATATAATCTTAAAATTTTCAAAAATACAAAAAATAACTTAAAAAAAACCTCATCTACGGTAAAAGTTTTTCACCTACATTACTATTGTAAAATATTTCAAAAACACCCCCAAAAACAATTAATTCAAACGTATCTTTAAGAAAATAAAAATTAGAAGATTTTGTGATCTAGAATGCATAATTTGTTTCAAGAAAAAAAAAATATAGGAGGTAGTCATTTATGTTATTATTGTGATAAAAAAAAGTGCATATTTTGTTTCATGGAAAAAGAAATATAGGAGGTAATCATTTTATGTTGTTAGTATCAAAGATAATTTAGGTTAAAGAATTCCATTTTGCTTTTGTCCTTTTCGTATGAGAGATGCAGCATTGTTCAGCAATATATATATATATATAGAGAGAGAGAGAGAGAGAGATATCATATTTTTTAAGATTAAGATTAAGATTAATATAGTAGTATAGTAGTAGTACTTTGAGTTAAAAATGGGAGAAAGGTTCAAAGTATTTGATTGACCCTCCCATCCTCTTCACGGTGCAAGATGGCTTCTTGGTAAAAGCTTCATTGGATTGCAATCTTAAAAATGATTATACACTTTTTAGTGTAGTCGGAGTAACGTATAAGTGCGATGATTTATTGGAAAGAATATTTATATAGGTGACACAAAATGGGAAACGAAAAAAATGTAAAAAGGAATTTGGCAAAAATAATAACCAAATAAAGCATCACATCTATAATATTAATTTATATCTCATTTAAAGGAAGGATAAAAACCTTGGATTCATATATGTACATGAGAGTTGAAAAAGGGAAAAAAAAAATGTAACAATCGAATGGGAATCTTTTATTTCTTCCGTGGAAATTTAAAACAAATAAAATAATACGTGGAATACACAATTTGGATCGGTTTACTGTTAGACATGGGCCAAGTTTTGACAAAATTCCAACTCCAAGCCAAAATGTTGCTAATTTGTGACAGTGCAAGAATGGACTGTTTCAAATTCATGGTTGAAACTCGGCCTCAGCAAGCAGGCTAAGAGGTGGATCAAAGATCTTAGCAATGCATTATCAGGCCCAACAAATAACAAATACTAACAACAAATGCCGTTGTCGACCAAATTGATATTGGGCTACTGCAAAATTGCGTATTCAGAACAAAAACAAAACAACAAAGCATGAATGGCGCCTTGACAACTTTTATTAGTAAAACAACAACATGGTAGTAAAGAGTCGAGAAGCATCGATAGGAGTTTAAAGTCGTGTCCCCTTTCGGCGTGCAGAAATTCCAAGATGCACTCCTAATTAGTTTTACTAGGAAATGGACGCAAGTTGTTAAATTCTCACTTCAAAGACGAAACGAACGAAGGAACGAACCCCCACCCCTATGTTTTTCAAATTTCAATTAGGCGGAGCGGAGTGAGTCAAAGGGCAGGCAGGTCCAGACCCCCAGTGAGTTGGCTGAGTACGTAATGGTCTTTGATCATCGCAGAGACTTCACCAGGGCTTCGATGGATATGAGTAATTATTAATTAGGGGGGCCGTTGCGTTGAATAATCAATCACCCCTCAATTTCAAAGATGCTCAAGTTTACAAAGTAGACCGACCTTATCCGGGGATGAGTTCATGACCAAAGTAGACATGAGTGCATTTCTGGTATATTGGCCTTTTAAGACTAGTCGTGTGGGTGTTTAGATATACTCAAAAAAGTTTTATCCCCCCCCCCCCCCCACACACACACAGTCACTCACAGAGTCACTCACAGTGACAGACAGATATTTACTTGTAGATAGTGCTGCTTCCCCTGCTCCAAAACAAGAAAGAAACACGACCATCGGTGTCTACTACTACTTGCTATACCTTATTAGCTAGCTATATACCGTCAAATCAAAACTTACTACTTATTATTCCTTCAATGCCTATAACATTTCAAAGCACTGCTAGCCAGGACTACTACCTGCTTAAGCATCATCAGAGAGAGACTCTCTGAGAGAGAGAGAGGTTAGTTTGCAAGTTCACCCAATCTGATCAGCTGGCTAGCGTAGCGTGTATACATATATATATAAAATATTATTGTTAACATGGCATGGTGGGAATTTTAACTTATAACTTACTTGTCGCCCAATCTCATGTTAGTCTGCATTTGATCTTTTTTTTAAAATGTTACTGTGCTGCATGCGTGATTGCTGATTAAAATTCTACTCTGCAGTCCGCTGTGGAGCAGACCCAACGTCATATACTTTCCTTGTGTTGAAATGAATCCAATAATGATAACAATAACAGATGGCGTATTATAATAACAATCCTTCTTCACCAAATTCAACTCTTGAGGAGAAGAAAGAGGGGAGGGTGGGGAAGGGAATGCACGATTTCTAACCTTGGTACTTGGTACATCACTCAACTAAACCTCTGAGCATTTGACTTTGAAACATTTCAATTCTGGGAGCCGATGGGATGGGGATGGGATGACAAAGTTGGACCCGTCGAAGAAACAAAGACTATAAAAGAAAGAACAAAGCATTTTGAGAGACCTGAGAAGCATCTATAATGGGAAGTTGATACAAGTCCACTCCTGAAATTTCTATGCAAACGTCAAACGGCAATTAGGTTTCCTGCAAATTAGCACTGACTCCTGCTGCAACTTGCATAATTACTGGTTCGTAATACTAATATTAGTCTAATACTAATACACCACACCATCGTGCTGCTAGCTACTGCTATATTTAAAGAATATTATTATACTCCTACTACTACTAATATATATTGTTGTATGTCGTGTGTCCGCTCTCTCTCTCTCTCTATATATATATATATATATTCCTACTAGTACCATTCAAGATAATCTAATCTAATCTATGTATTCAAGATAACCAAAAAAAAAAAAAGAAAAAACAGACGGACATTCTTGTTGCGCAAGCCGTCTTAGGTTGGGTTGACCAGTGTGGATGAGATGAGTAAGAGTAGTATTCTTTAGTGAACTTGTGTTGAATGTCGTCCGTTTTGACTTTGACCGACCGACCGACATGGTTTTCTCCCAAGCAAATGAGCGATTCAAATGTTTTCCGTGGCGATTAAATGCAATAATAATAACGAGACCTTTTCAAGTCTCAGCAGTCCCGGCTTCCTTTGCCAGTAATTTAAGTGTCGGTAATTTAACATCACAAACAAAATAATCTGTTTTTTTTTCCCTTCTTTTTATTTGTGTTAAAATCCTTTTTCTATATATGTCAAATACTCTCCCTAGCTCTCTTCAAATAAACAATTAAAGATCATCATCATATATAAAAACTAAACTAGCAAAATGAAAACGACCTTAATATTGCAGACCGTCGTATCCTTGCGAAGACAACGGAACCGCAACAGTTGAGAGTATCGCACACAAATTTAAAGAAAAAAGGTGAAATTAATGAACTTTCTCGGTCGGGTCAGAAGCTTCCTTTGTTGACAAGTAAAACACGTATAGTCAACTACGTCCATGGCGTCTGCAACTTTTGTTTTGTGGACTTGCCTTTGCAATTTCAGCATAGATGCGTCAAAAAGCTTTAAGGTTGCCGTAGACAAAAGCACCATATATAATGGCTAAAGTGCTGCTTATTATATTTATTTATATATGTAATTAAAATCATCCATCATAACTAATACACCAATAAAAAAAAGCGTGCTCTGTTTAATGACGTTATTTGTTTACTGTATGCATATGCTACAGTTTCTATTCAATCAATTAGAAAATTGATGGAATGTGCTACAGCTAGCCGACTGAAGAAGATCAACGGTGCGTGCGTGCTACTGTGTTTCATTTCACAGTACCGATTGGACGAGGGTTCTACTATTAAATTATCAGCACCGGTACTGTTCCTAACACGACTTATTATGCTGCTGGTTCTTTTTTTCTAATTAATCAGATCGATGCATGATTAGGAGGACCGTTTGATCAGCTGCTAACTCACTAATCAAACAGAGAGTAATAATATATGTTTTACAAGGAGGGAGGGCAGGCACACGACGCGGTTCTAATCGAGTTTAATGGAACCGAGTGTTGGGCCTTTTGCGGACCGAATGTCCCCCTTAAGTTAGCACTAATTATATATGGGGCAACGAGTTTCGCAAAATCCTTTAATTGGTGTTCTTGTAGGGAATTAAGGATTGTTGAGTTCACACTTGACGCGCGGCCAGCTTCTTCTTTTATTATGAGTGTTCTCTACTTTTATCGGATCACTCATTATTCCCATGCATATGCATGCACGCACGAATGAGTGAATGATTATTATAATTACTTGATCAGCTGATGATGCTATTAGTTTGCTGGACACAAAGCAAAATTGCAA